TACCGTGAAACAGAATTTTGGTCATTCCGCCCACCCCTACTGCATGTCATTTGGATCAAATCCTCTAACAACATTTTGAAAAATAAAACCTGTGTTTTGCTTCAATATCTGATCCTTCTGCTATTACGAAACACAATTTTGCCTGTTTATTTCATACTATCTCTTTTAATGTGGAAAAACCGCAAAATAATATATTTTTTTTACTAATGTATTGGTTTGTAATTTACGGTGAATAAGGTCCTGGAAAAAACTTTAAAATGGACCTTGAAAGTGCTTGAAAAGTGCTTGAATTTGACCTTGGAAAAGGTGTATGAACCCTGATTATATTCGTAGTCTTTACTGTGGTAAATTAGAAAAAATGCTGGAGATTAGATAGTCAACCTTTTTATTTGCACGTCAACCCCCCATATAATATTGATATCTACATTGGTATAGATATCAATATTAATTCAGATATCTTGCTAGTAACAATCACAAACACTCATCATAAATTATCATTGTTAGTAGTGAAAATTAAATTATTGATATCAAAAATAAAGGTTTTTACCAGTTGAAATCAAGAATTAGCATTGTTACTATTAGAAATCTAATTCCTGATTTCAATAACTACAATTTTAACTAGAAAAATTGTAATTTGTTGATATTAAGAATTAGCATCCTGGAAATAAAACGACTCCCTGACCTGTATGCATTTGTTTGCCTTGAAGGATTGACTGACAAGATGCGAGCGGATTTCAACATCATGAAGGATCTTGCCTCGCACACAAGGCTGAGTCCTGAACAGCGAGAGAGCAGAATTAACCGCTTAATCTCCAACATTGACAGGTTCTATTCCAGCCCTATTGATGTGTTTTGTTTCTTAATTATGAGTATTTTGTATATTTTATCGGCTCTCCCATACAATAGAAACGGAGATGTGCAGAATGAACTTACTACTTGGGGTCTGAGCTTTGAGAACCGACTGCTGAGTCTGAATGGAAGAGTTCTGCCCTCTGAGAGGATTATACAGGGAAGCAGAGCGGTAAGACAGACAGCTTCACATCCCAAAAGACATTATTAATGTAACAGTTTCATTGAAGGCTTGATTATTTTCTTTCATTTTCATCTTTTAGTACGAGTATAATCCATGGGCAGCTGACTGGTCTAAAGAGATGAGAGGTCTCCCTCTGATAAGCTGCATGAATATGGACAACTGGCTGATGTTCTACACACGCCGGAATGCAGACGTTGCCCAAGGTCTGCTTCAAACTCTCAACAGAGTGGCTGGGCCCATGGGAATCCGCATGCAGAGGGCCATCATGTGAGTTGTGTGAAACTTTAAAAGTTCAAAACTTTCCATTCAATTTTCATGTTAAATAAGCATTTCCTGCTCAAACAGGATTGAGTACGAGGATCGTCAGGAATCTCTCCTGAGAGCCCTGCAACAGAACGTAGCACGTGAAACACAGATGGTGAGACTAGCAATGCACAGTTTGAATATCCAGACTGGGCTTTTGTTTCAAACTGCTTCTGTGCCTTCCATAGGTGGTTGTGATCCTGCCTACCAATCGAAAGGACAAGTATGACTGTGTGAAAAAGTTCCTGTGTGTGGACTGCCCCACTCCCAGTCAGTGTGTGGTGGCTCGCACCATCAGCAAACCTCAAGCGCTCATGACTGTGGCCACCAAGATTGCTTTGCAGATGAACTGCAAAATGGGAGGAGAGCTGTGGAGTGTGGAAATCCCTGTAAGACTCTCAAATGTCTCTGTTGGCTTGTACCAAGTGTCCGATTCCGAATTTAATCTTTGTCTTTCAGCTGAAGCAGCTGATGATCGTAGGCATAGACTGCTACCATGACACCGCTGCTGGGAAGAGATCTATCGGAGCACTGGTGGCCAGTCTGAACCATGGCATGTCCAGGTAATATAATGATTTGAAGATGGCACTGTTTAAACAAATATAAGCCTACAATTATGTTGGACTGATTAGGCAATAAAACTAAAGTCTTAGTGTGAATGTTTTTCAAGAAACTGCAAAACATTTGAAGTAGATGGAAGTTTTGAGTTAGAAGGGAACTTTGCATTTTCGTTATTGGTTGACTAGGTAGTCATTAGGATTTCTTATTGAAAATAATTCATTCTGTAGTTAAAAGATTTCAGAATCAGATTATGTGGTTGTACATAATTGTTGTATAATGTTGCTTTCATTATTTTTTTTCAGGTGGTTCTCCAAGTGTGTCTTGCAAAACCGTGGTCAGGAGATCATCGATGCACTGAAAGGGTCGTTGCAAGGTATGAAATGTTACAAAATCATAATCTTGTAACTCACCGTGTCACTGTTTGACTTGAAATGAGTCCGGTGGGTTTTTGGTTAAATGCCTGAAATAAGGTTTATGGCGAACAAAATCTCAAGATATTAATTGCAATTAAATACATCAGTTATACCTCAGTGATTTTTTTGAAATTTATTTATTTATTTTTTCTTATGAAAAAAGCAGTTGTTAACCAGTAGTTGAAAGGCACTACAAAGTTTGTTGGTGACATTAAATGTCATCCCATCCCAAGGAAAACTCCAATACTTGCTAGTCTACTTTCAAAGCTTTGTTTATGGTCTTGCAAACTATTATCTCAAACATTCCAACTTAAATGACATTGAAAGAGTTGTTAGAAAATTACTGGGGGTTCATTTCTAACCTAACTTTAGCTTTATATCTTTTATTTAGGCTTTAAAATTCATAAACGATTTTAATTTGTGAAGATTATCTTGAACAAAATGTAAGAATTCATTTAGCTGGTCACATCTTACATTCTGCCGCAATAATCCACAAGCCATTGGAAAAATATCCTGGTCAAGGGAAAACAGGGTGATGTGAAATTGCAAGTTTGCTTACAAAATACATCATCCCTATACTGAAGCTGTGTGTCTCTTTAGCTGCTCTGAAGGCCTATCTGAAGTACAACAATTGCCTGCCCTCACGCATCATCGTGTACCGAGATGGAGTTGGAGATGGCATGCTGCAGAGCGTGGTGGACTACGAAGTTCCTCAGATCATGCAGTCCATCAAGACCTTGGGGCAAGATTATGAGTAAGCCGCACTTTATGAAGACAAATTCACATGTTGAATTCCCTTGGTTGTATTCACATTTTTGTTTTGCATACAGGCCCAAGCTGACAGTTGTGGTGGTGAAAAAGCGCATCAGCTCCAGGTTCTTTGCCCGGATTGATGGCAAAATTGCCAACCCTCCTCCTGGAACAGTCATTGACTCTGAGGTCACTCGTCCAGAGTGGTGTGTATAGATTCTACTCTCATCACAATACCGGAATTTATAACTTCAATACGATACCTTGAAAAATATTGATATTTGATGCCACAGAGAAAAACAGACATATACTACCATACAGATTTAATTTTAGATTATTTGGTTTTGTACTGAATGGACACATTTATTTGTGTAAACCATAAAGGTTTTTAAAAAGTCTTGCAGTTGGTTTTAAAAACTCTTCAGATAGCCGTTTTAGCCATTTTGTATTAGTACAATAATGCAAACCGCTCATCTTAAAGCTAACGTCTGCTTTCAGGTATGATTTCTTCATAGTAAGTCAGGCTGTGCGCTTTGGTTGTGTCGCACCTACGCACTACAATGTGATATTTGACAGCAGTGGCCTCAAGCCAGATCACATGCAGAGACTCACCTACAAACTCTGCCACATGTACTACAACTGGCAGGTAACCCATGTAGATCGACTGCTGATAGCTCTGCAATGCCATGTGCCGTCTCATGTATTCTTCATGGCTCTTTCTTCTTTCTCTGAAGGGGATTGTCCGAGTGCCTGCACCATGTCAGTATGCCCACAAACTAGCCTTCCTGGTTGGTCAGAGCATTCACAAGGAGCCCAACATGAACCTGGATGACTTCTTGTACTACCTGTAACCTGCTTAAGTGATAAGATGGAGGGTCTGGAAGAATAAATGGGCCATTCTTATTTTATTTTACTGTTTAATCAGTTGAGTGAAAGTATAATTTTTGTTTATATCCGTACATATGTGTTGAGAGGGAAGCAGGTACAAAAATGTTTGTAAGGGAGAAATGCTTATGGTCCTACTTTTTTTTCTTTTAAATATTCCCTTCTACTGTTCTGATGTCTTGTGAAGATCCCTGCTTTATGTAAAGGGATAGTTCAGATCATAGATTTCTTGGTTTGTGTTGAATGAAACATTTATTTTCAAGTTTCCAGTATAAAAGATGAATAATTACATTTGTAGTTAATGTCTTAAGCGTTCATGTACTACATTCATTAATGTGTTGTTCGTGTTTCACACAATTAATTAGACCGTAGTTGTAAATTGATCAACAAGGAAAGAATTTCCATGTAAACCAGAAGTATTGGAAAGAGCTAAAGATGAGAAAAATAAAGTATTGATGTATTGAAATGCGTCAGGATTGAGTCTTTTTGAAAGGAATCGATTTGAAAATATTAAAGCTCAATTTAATATGGCTTGCTAGTTTTTTTTTTCGTTTGTTTGTTTACTAAAAAATAATTAAGACCACGGGGTACAGTGCAAGTGTTTTGAGAAAATTATGGCATTAAAGTGAGTTCAATAATATATACTATTTCTGAAAACATGGGCATGTGAATGAATTTTCAAATTTCACTAACGGTTTACTATCAGAGGGTAACTGCAGGCGGCGCATGGAAGCTCAGTGAACCCATTCCTCCATTGAGTCTCCTATAGAAATCTTATTTATCTTAAAAGTTTTATTTTAATGCAAAAAACTCATTGAAAGTAATCTATTAAATCTAATATCTAGGAGGAATGAGCTTTCACATAAAAGTGCATTGACCCTACAAAGGCTAAATTAATTTGAGAACGATAATGGTTTAGATTGGGCCATTTTGCCGAGCGCTGAGGAAAATAACAGACCCCACGTGACGGCGTCAGGAATACAATTTACACCTGAAGAATGACATATCGTAATAACATTTAATTGAAACTCAGGGAAGCAAACAGTAATAAATAGGAAAAAATAACATGACAAAGCATTGCTGTTTCTATGGTTACTACCACCCTGTTTCGTGTAGCTGCGCCCATAATCTAACCTAAACGCGCAGAAGAAGAGAGCGCGAGTTAAAATGATGGCAACCAAACAAACACGCACCACTTCATAACTGCATTCACTTTTAACGTCAAAGTTTTATTTCTACGCGTTTATCGACAAGTTACTAACTCCAACGGTTAATTCGTGTACTTTCTCCGACACACTTTAGTTTGTCGTGATCTAACGTTAGTCAGGACTTGCAATGGACATTAATGCGCGCGGACCGCTACTGATGTGTACAATCAACAGGGGATAAACGACGGATCAACGACTTTGTTATGAGGGACAGACTGGCCGATTTAAACGCGGTAAGTGATTGATAATTAACCAGTTAGACTAACTAATTGTTGTTAGAGTCGACTCAACACAATGGAGATTAATGTGTTTTAGTAACACAAGTACCACATTTTACATAAAACTATACATTCATATTTGGGGGTAACTTTCTTCATTGTTTATGTCTTCTTTAATGTTTGTGTCAGTGTATCGGTCTTCCTCTTCCTCCGTGCTCATCTGTTTTTTTGTGCTATGTTTTAGGGCAGGCAAAGTGCCAGCGAAGATGGGGGTGTCATTGTGTCCATGGAGAGAGATGACTTTATGCAGACCTTTTTCAGAAAGGTAACGTTAACTTACATGCATCTTTATGAAAGCTGCTCCTCATCTGTACACTGTTGTTGACAGTAAAATGCTAACAATGAAGTCTTGAATCGATTATTATAATCAGATAATTGTTTACATGTTGTTCATCAACAATAAATGCCAGATATTTAAAATATACGTTATTTTATTATTGTTTATTTCTTAATATTTTAAATTAACTTTAGTTAACATGAATTATGAATGAACAATACTTCAGCATACACTAGCATTTATTTAATGTTAATTTCAACATGATACATTATTACAATCAAAAGTTCTATCTGATAACATTTAATGCATTGTGAACTAACATGAGCAAACGATGAATGACTGACTGTATTTTTATTAACTAACAGTAACAAAGATTAATAAATACTGTAACAAATGTTTTGTTCCTTGTTAGTTCATGTTAGTTAATACAATAAGATTAGCTAATAAAACATTATAAAGTGTTACCTTTATTTCAGTTATCAAAAACTGTTTTTATAGTTAGTTTAGTAGTTAGTTTTAATATTGTAGTTTTGGTTAACAACAACACTGAAATCTACACTGTTTAAATGCATAAATTAACCAATTAATAATAAAAAAAAACATTAAAAAAATTAAATCGTGTTACAATTTATTTTGATAGCCCACTTTAGACATTCTACTAACAATACCAGTCATTACAGTATTAGTAGCTAGACTTAATATCTGCTAAACACTTTATTTTGATGGTCCCTCAACAGACATTCTACTGACTATAGTAACTTTGCAAATACATGACAGCTTGGTCCACTAACCCTGATCCTAACTTAATAGTCTACTATTAATACTCTAATTATAGTTAGCAGAAAGCGGACTATCAAAATATACTGCAATCTTAAAATGGACCAATGATATTATGTATCACACCATCATAATGTACAGTATTGCATTTATAAGACAAATATGAAATTTAATTACAAATATGTTGCAACATGCATACCCAGCAGTTCACATCTAGAAGCCCACTAAAGTGCACACTAAATCATTAATAAAACCTTAAGGTTTGTGTTGAACTATGTTTTACTTTATTTCAGGTGGAGGAGGTCAGAGGTGTCATTGATAAGATCTCCTCCCTAGTGAATGAGGTGAAGAAGAAACATTGTGTGATCCTTTCAGCCCCCAACCCTGATGAAAGTAAGTCACCCCTACTCAAAGACTGTGAAATTTGAGCAAAACAAGTAAGAACTAAATGAATTTCTGTATGGTCAGGTTAAATAGTTTTTAATAACAAGGTGGTCAAGTCGAAGGTTCAAACCTTTTCAGGGGTGATTTATTCCCTTGTCCATGTAAACGCAGCTACTGTTTTAATCACAAAATGTGTGAATTGCACCTACAAAGCTGTACCGAACCATACCATGCAGTGGAAAAGCACTGTGAAAGGCTTTCACACTATATTTAACTCTGGTTTTATATATTTTTTTAACCTAGTTAGTTAAGCGATGTTTAACCTTTATCATTTTAAAAGTGGGCTAAAATGGGTTAATATGACACTGAGGCTAGAAAACATTTCTCATATGCACAGATTGTGCACACATACATATGGTTAATTTAACCTTTTGTAATGTCTTGGCAGTGTTCATGGGTTGAATGGCGTCTGCTCACAATGACCAAATATATAGAAAATAAAATAAATGGGGAAAAGAGACCCTTTAAAATTTACTATAGGGAGTCAAGTTTGGGCATGCAAGGAATCACGGTTTCCCCCATCCATTCTTAATTTTTAGTCAGTATTGAGGTAAGTTTTGGCTGTTACTTGCAGGGCATGTATAGGACATGCAGGCAGGAATGTAAGTTTGAGATAAAGACATCTGCAAGGGTGTGAGTGTTTCTGCAACAAACTCTATGCTCTGTTTTTCTTCCACACACATGTTATATCTCGGAGATGTATCAAGTTGATAGTAAAATTGAATGTGTTTCTGGAATCTGTTTGAGGATTGTGATATTTCACCTATTTAAGGTGAAATACTTTACATATGTGTACATGCCTGCATTCTTCTCATACTGTATATAACTCACCACAGTGTTTTTCCAACATTTCAGATAATGTGAAATGTTGTCATATTATGTGAAATAATGTAATGTAACATAATGTGCATATTTTGTTTTTATTTTAAAAAACAAAAAAACACTAACTTTGGTTTCCAGTGGTTTATTTTATTATCTATTATCTGAGTTGTATATCAAGTGAACGCCAGGCCATGAAATGTCAAGAAGGAGCCTTTGCATTTATATGATCAACATACAGTAAAACGGTAATATATAGTAAAACGGTAATTTACTGTATGGATCAACATACAGTAAAACAGTAAAATAGTATAGCAGTAATTTACTGTATGGATCAATATACAGTAAAACAGTAATATAGTAAAACAGTAATTTACTGTATGGATCAATTTACAGTAAAACAGTAATATAGTAAAACGGTAATTTACTGTATGGATCAACATACAGTACAACAGAAAATACAAGAATTTAATTTATTTGAAATAGAATCTTTTGTAATATTAAATAATGTAATAAAATAATGTCTTTACTGTTACTTTCGATCAATTTAATGCATCCTTGTTGAATAAGTGTATTCATTTCTCTTATCCCAAAATATGACTTTGCTATCAGAAACAAAAGAAGAGCTGGAACAACTCACTGTGGAAATCAAGAAACATGCCAACTTTGTCCGGAGCAGCCTCAAATGTGAGTTTGATGTTGAGCTGCTACTGTCTGTTGATGATAGTAAAGCAGAGATCACCAATGCACTTAAAAAAATAAATAAATAAGTTCTGATCTATTTTCTCTTCAGCAATGCAAAAGAATCTACCTCCAGATGAGCAGGAATATGCAGTGGATGCACGCATTCAGAAAACACAAGTGAGACATTTCTCTCTCTTTTAAAATCCTACCATCCTGTACCGGCATATTTCCATCCCAAACTGATTTATTTCACTTACTGTTTCTTTTTTTTTAGTACACCAACTTGTCACGTAAGTTTGTGGAGGCAATGACACAATATAATGAAACCCAAGTGTCCTTCAGAGAGAAGAGCAAAAGCAGGATTCAGAGACAGCTGGAGATCAGTGAGTCACGCATGTGTACCTTCATACAGTCACAAACACATATGTACATATGATACCTGTTAACTAGACTATTGACGGTTGACAGATTTCTACTTAAAATTACCATACTGTATATATTTTAATGCATACACTGTATATTAATAAAAAAGGCCCACTTATTCCTTCTTAGAAAGTGTAGGCGCTGCCTTGTTTTACGGTTTGCTTATCTTCAGTCCTAGTTTCGGTTTCCCTTTTTGAATGATGAATATAGATATAAAATATATTGAAACCTGCTGATACAGAGTTATTTCCTTACATGCAGGAAATCGCAACTGTCAGCTGTAGTGTTTGCAGTGTGTTTTTTGGCCCAGACGACAACACAGTCAGCTTTTGTCACCAGTCACATTAGCTCTTTGACGTTGACTGTGTGTGTCATTACCTGTTTGCTAGGGATGAATGATATTAGGCCGGTATTAGAGATTTTTTTAAAAATATATCAGTATTGGTTGATATTAGATATATTAGCTAAAATGAGATATTTAAGTTTGCAACTCATCTTATATTTTTACCTTTAGATTACCCTGGCCTTGATCCAAGACTTACTTAAAATTAATCTTTAAAAAAGTGCTACTATTTAATAGTTATTAATTTAATAATTAATTAATATGTGAAAATGTTATATTAAATGTAGTCTTTAGCCAACGTCATAATGAATATCTGTTTTTCATCCTGTACATAAAGATGTGATGCCTAAATACACTTGTAGCATTTAAAATGATTAATTTTAGTTTAAGCGCTTTATTTTTATATTATTTTGGCAAAATAGTAATAGAATTTGGTCCAGTATGGGCAAAAATGTTTGCCTATTCATTGTCTTCCCCTCTTATCACATGACGTTCTGTTCCTGAAATATAATTTGAGTAGTGTGTGTGTGAGAGAGAGAGAGTTTGCGTGTGTGCATTAATGAGGTACTTTCTTTGCTTTACGACACGTGAAACGGAGCGGTTTGTCACCAGAGAATGTAAGGTGAGTGTTACCTGGGCAACAGGCCTCCAGAGATCCTGCTGTACCTCTGCACAGTGGGCCAGGAGCGGAATGTCATGTGATAGTATAGTGAGTCATATCATGTGACTTATATTCACATGAAGACCCAGTTACCTCAACTTTTACATCATTTTAAAAAAATAAATCCATGAAAAAGGTTTTTCCAAAAAAGTTGACTTCATTTCAATGCTTCAGTTGTATGCTATTTTAAGTCAGTATTTGAGGTTCAATTATGTTGTGAGATATTTATATAAGTATGAATACGTGCACTTGTGTGTGTGTTTTTTTCCAGTGGCCTTTGCATTGATGGCCTCATTTTCCCAGCTGAATCAATATAGTCCCCAAGGCAGACTTAGCATGACCACACACACATCACAGCCATTTATCCATTGAGAAATGACAAATTTACACACAGGCAGCCATTTGTCAAACAAATAATGGCCTAAACAGGATTGTCCAGTTCGTGATGAGAGTGCTGTTTTTTTTTTCCTGATCTTTTACACTTTGAATATTGTAGCTGGAAGAATTACAACTAATGAGGAATTGGAAGAGATGCTGGAGACTGGAAACCCTTCCATTTTCACCTCTGATGTGAGTTTGCTTCTCGAAAATGCTTATTTCCAGTCTTAATCTAGGCTGAAGGAAGGAATATTAAAATACTGCTGCTCTCATCCAGAGCCAATTTCCTTTGGCTTCTCATCTTACTGTTTTTGTGACATGACATGAGAGAGACTAATCTTTTCAACAATTATGGAGAATTAGCACCCTCTGCTGGCTGTTTCTCTGCATTTGTGTAATGGTCTGTTGAAAGCAGGGATGTCCAATCCTGCTCCTGGAGGAGAGTCACTGTCCAGCAAAGTTTAGCTCTGTCCTCAATTTAACACCTAAATAATCAAGGTCTTTCTAGAAACTTCCAGGCAGGTGTGTTGAGGCAAGTTGTTGCTAAACTCTGCAAGAGAGTGGCCCTTCAGGACCGAGTTTGGACACCCCTGGTTTAAAGGGACAGCTTGCCCAAAAATAATAATTCTGTCATCATTAACTACATTAATAATGCAGTTTTAAACCCATATTTCTAACATGGAGTACTAACTGAGAAATTTTTAACTAATATTTTACTTCTTTTTTTTTTTCTGAGCAATTACACTTCCATTCAAAAGTTGAGTGTTGATTATATATATATATATATATATATATATATATATATAATTTTATATATATATATATATATATAATTTTATATATATATATTATAAAATCTTATGCTCACCTAGGCTGATAAAAAATACAGAACAAACTTAATTTGTGAAAAATTATTGCAATTTAAAATAACAGTTTTCTATTTGAATAGATTTTAAAATGTAATTTATTTATGTATTGGCAAAGCTGAATTTTCAGCATCATTATTCCAGTGTTCAGTGTCACCTGACCCTTCAGAAATCATTCTAATATGCTGATTTGGTGCTTAAGAAACATTTAGTTTCTTATCGTCTTTGTTGTTCTTACGGTTTTTTGAAAAAAAAAGAGAGAGCATGTTTTTAACATGAGGGTGAGTAAATGATGACACAATTGGGTGATCTGTCCCTTTAATGTTCATGCAGTGTTGTCACAGTTTTTAAGTTCCTAGAGGCTATTAAAAGATATCCTTTGATTTCAGATCATCTCCGACTCCAAGATAACTCGACAGGCCCTCAACGAGATCGAGTCTAGACATAAAGACATCTTGCGGCTGGAGTCCAGCATTAAAGAGCTACATGACATGTTTGTAGACATGGCCATGCTTGTTGAGACTCAGGTACAGTATACAGTTATCACTTATCTTTATTGTTTGTCTGTTCACTTATTTAGTTATCCTTTATTTAACCAGGCAAATCACTTAAGAACAAGTTCTTATTTTCAACAACAGCCTGGCAGGAGAGTTAAAATCTCCTGAAAGGCATACAAACATACATTGCCATGCACACACATATACATTCAATTAAAACATTTACAGGATATGATAAAAAAAAAAAATGTTTTAAATGCAGAGATTGAAACATGTGCCTCTAATTTCAATGACTTTTGTCACACATTCCAATCATTTGGAGCAGCAAAACCAAAAGCGGAACCACCATAAACACTTTTCTTATTAGTTAGCATATTGCTTTACTTGTTAGTTGTTATGAGCACTGCATTGGGCATTCATTCGTTGATTTACTCATTTCTGTTGTACAGGGTGAGATGATTGACAACATTGAAAAGAACGTAAACAATGCAGTAGAATACGTCGACCATGCTAAAGTGGAGACCAAGAAAGCTGTCAGGTACCAGACACAGGCCCGCAGGGTAAGAATAAAAAACCATAGAGAAACTGATTAGCTATGAGATTAAAGGCTGGAATGCACTGCACAACACAACTTGAACAGATTTTAAAACACTAGACATCACACATTTGCCAACAAGAAAAAATTCGGCATCATACACTAAACATCCGAGGATCAAGTTGTTCCAAACACGGCAAACTCAGGCAGACTATACGCAAACAATAATGTGTTTGAAAATCAGCTTAAAATATCAAAGATGTTTGACTGGATGGAATCAAAGTCTTTGTCCATCATAGACTACATGATTTTATGCAAAATCTGTCGACTCCCATTGCCCAAAATCTGCAGGCTGTGCTCTGATATCCGGCAACTACTGTAGCGTCAACTCCTCCAGACATTAAATCTTGGCAAAACCCATGTAGTGTATTCCAGCCTTAAGAAGCCACATTATCCCCCAGTTTCACAGAAAAGTTTTGAACCTAGTCCCAGACTAAAATGTTTGAGCTGTTTTAACTGAGAGCAACTATGTCTTAAAATATATCACTGCTATTGTTTTGTCCCAAGATGCACACCAGTAATATTTCTTCCAAGTCATGTGCATAAAAGCTACTTAAATGTCCTAATTGGACTAAGGCCTTTTCCTTGCTTAAATTAAGCTTTGTCTGTCTAACTAGGCCCACTTTTTTTGCCTCCAATAAGAGTTTGTAATATTCATAAATAATACAGCCCTATAATAAATGAGACTGTTTTATAATGAACACATTTGGAGGGGCTTGAGCTCTTTAGCTTTACTCTGTCACATTATGTACTACAGGCTACAGAATTTTGTTCTACAGAATTTGTATATGTTAACAAATGCTTAAATGCAATCATTATAACACTTTCTTTTTGTCTTGTACAGAAATACATCATTCTTGCTCTTATTCTTTTGTCCGTGCTTGGTGTGGTTGTGCTAATTGTTGGCTTGTCTGTGGGCCTGTCTGCTAAAACCACCACTAACTCCGCCTCCTCCAGTTCTAATGCAGGCAATCCTGTCTAAGCATGGTTACCAAGGTAACAGCCAATTACCAACAATCTCATCTTGCCTACTTTCACTTTAAAGGGTTTGAAAAAAGATTCAAATAATGGCAGTTTATTTGCTTCTAACAAATTACAAAAAAGGTACATTTACATTTAGTCATTTTAAACTTACTGATACTTTTCTGTTGTTTTTTTTATCTCTGTGTCATAGAAACTGGTCTATGTTAGCATTTGTGGAGCCGTGTGCATCATCATTCTTCTCGTCATCATTGTCTTTGCAGTTTACAGCGAAAACAAATAGTTTTTTGTCCTGCTACATACAGTCAAAGACTTTCCTCTGAGTTGTATGCCTTGCCACTTACTATAGCAACCAGAGGTAATTTTCTGTCTTTTATTTATTCAATGCTGGTAAGTCAATTTTGCACAATTGAGTAATATTTTCTAATATTACAATATGTTTCTTTGGGTACTTCATTCTTTGGGAGGTCTGACTGACAATGTGGAGTTAAATGCAATCCAATAAAGTGCACTTAAGATATGCTTTAATAAATAAATAAAAAAGGGAGTCACAAGTTCAAAATAATTTGTTTCAGCTTTTACGACTGTTCGATATGACAGTTGTCTCCACACAATATGAGGTCAGATCTGTGAACAATGTTACTAAATAAGTTTTAATCACTTAATGTTTTTCTTTTTTGTCTCTTGCATATGACTGTATGTGAAAGGAATGTTACCAAAAAGTCAAATGCTCACAAAGTATATTGTAAAATAAATGAGTTGCTCACTCTGCTCAAAACTGTCATACTGTGTCCTTCCTTCTGTTATTGGTGAATGTTCATCACATACAATTGTGTTCAAAAGTTTGTAGTTTTATTCAGCAAGGATACATTTAGTTATCTCTTTTAATCATTTACATTGTTACAAATATTTAGCTTTCTATTCATACTGAAACTTTAATATTGATCATGTTTAGAAATGTTTCTTGACCACAAAATCAGCATATTAGAATGATTTCTGAAGGATCAAGTAACACTGAAGACCGGAGTAATAATGCTGAAAATTCAGCTTTGCATCACAGAAATAAATTACAATTGACATTTTAATATATTTTTTAAATTTTAATAATATTTCACAATATTACAGTTTTTTACTATATTTTAAATCAAATAAATGCAGTCTTGGTGAGCATAAAAATCTCCTTTAAAAAAATCTCACAGGCCACAAACTGTCTTATGGTATAGTAAATATCGCTTTTACACTTTTACGCTTTTTTATTTACATTATCTTCTTTAGCATGGTATCGGTCAACTGATAATTATCCATATCCAGAATGTCCAGAAAACATTATACCATTGTTTTAATGAGAAGTCCTCAACACTCTGTTGATGACATCATCCTCACCGTTACCATGAGAACCTCAGTATGTGTGACAAAGCTGAAGCAGGTGCAAATATTGATGCTCATGGGATTTTACCTTAGACGCACAGCAGCTGGGGATCACACTCACATACATTAGACACTCGATGCTGTCTCTGAAATCTATATACAGTGCACATGATGAAAGCTGAATAAATGGCTCTCGTGACATGACAATTTCAGGACATCATATCTCTGCTATTGGGCTGTGAGTGGGCAGAAGCACAGACATTATGTAACTCAAATGTTCCTGCTTCAGAGACAGTAAAGAGAGCATCCAAACACAGACACACGCATGCATGCATGCATGAGAGAGAGCCAGTGAGAAGTAAATAAATGAAAATCTCACCTGACCTGGTTAGGATGAGTGAATAAAAAGATGAAGCTGAGAGGGGAGACAGCGTTTGTAACGGTGAGTCAGTGCTCCTCTCTCATTCTCTGTGTGAGTCACTGGAGCAGCAGCGTACTGTACTGGAAACCACAGGGAAGGACAACTAGGAAAACGTGAGTTCATTATAGGAACCATGCTTTGGATTTTCATTTTAACCCCCTTGAGAGAGGTTTGATTTTCTGTTGAACGAATCCTTAAAATAAACGATTTTAAAAATAAACGTTCTTTTCGGCGTCTGGTTCTATGAGGAACCTAAATATCCGTGGGAACTTTTCATTGGATAAAATATTCTTTATAGTGGCAAAAGGTTCTTGAGATTAAATTGTATTTCACTCTTAAGAAAAAAAAATGTTTATTTTAAGAACCGTTGGGGAACCAAAAATTGTTCTATGGTATCACTGTAAAAAAATCCTTTTGGAAACGTTATTTTTAAGAGTGTAGCCTTGATTATTATATTATGTTTGACGTTTTATATTTATTTGAAGTTTAAGAACAAGACCAGACTCGTGTTCAACTATTGAAATGAATTGTGGTTCAACGATTGAAATCATCTTTACGTTTCATCTTTACTTGTTGACTTAGCATTCTGACTAGTTACATGACGGCTGTTTTTTTATTCTTAGTGACTAACTTTGTGCCATCTCAAAAAATATTTTGAGATATACAATACAGATGTACATGTTCAAATGTCTAGGGTCAGTAATGTTTTCTTAAGCAGTAATGATGCATTAAGCAGCACAACTGTTTTCAACAACAACAACAACAACAAATGTTTCTTGAGCACTAAATCAGCATATGATTTCTGAAGGATCATGTGGCATTGAATGGACTGGAGTTCAGCTCATGTTTTGCCCTTAGTCCATTTAACAGGGCTGATTTGCTTACCGCACGGAAGATTTGGGAAAACTATGCTGGGGATAAAAAAAAGATGGAAATAGAAAAAGAAAAGAAGTTTACTGGATTGTTGTCAATGTTCTAAAAAAAAAAGGTCCTTAACAAATGCATAGTGAAATGAAATGAAAATTGTTTAATTACTTACTCACCCTTAAGTTGTTCCAAACCTGTATGAATGTCTTTCTTCTGTTGAACACAAAAGAAGATATTTTAAAAGAATGTTGGTAACAGACATTTGCTGGTAGCCATTATTTACTTCCATAGTAGGAAAAAAAATAGTATGGAAATCAATGGCCACCGTTAGCTTTCTGGTTACCAACGTTCTTCAAAATATGTTCTTTTGTGTTCAACAGAAGAAAGAAACTCATGGAGGTGGAACAAGATTTCCATTACACAAGAGTAGATGTTAAACTTCATGCTGATTTGTACTTTGCCAAGATAAGCACAAACTAAAACGTAACTTTACAAAAAAACGATGCTTCTCCATCCATCTGCTTCTTTCCATATGGTGACTTGAATCTCCTTCTGTCCGGCGTTAACGGCTGCAGTGTACTTGGCGCGTCAGCATACATTGTGGTCTCCCCAGTGGACCAGCACGACAACCGTCTTGATTGAGCCGAGTAGGGGACATCTCTAGGGTCGTCGACTTGCCAAGAGGGCTCGACAGAGACTCTACTGTACTGCGCAATGCTGTTCTGCTTCAGTGGCCAGATGAGCTTACCGCAGTTTCTTCCTCTCATATGCTTCATCCACAGCATCCTCACATGACACTGTTAACTCTATCAGCTGAACAATGCGTGCTGATCCAGACCACAAAACAATATCTGATCAGAGGTTAGTGGTGGCAATCTCAGGTGGAAAAAAAAGCTGTTGATCAAAATCAGCCAGCATTTTCCAGTCCCCAACAGCTTCCAGTTGTCCTGGGCGAGAATTGGTTTTAACAGCTTTTCTTTTGGTTGCTCGCCTGGGTGGAGGAATGTTGTCTTCTGCATGTAATGTTTTGCTAGAACAGGCGACAAACTATTGGTCATGTTACGCTTGCCTTCCAATGCTAAAGACAAACATTGCAGTACTTGGTCATGGCGCCAAGGAAATTGACCTTGGCTGAGAGCCACCCTACATCCTGTCAGAATGTGCCTTAATGTGGCGGGTGATGAACACAAAGGACATGAGGGGTCTTCTCCTACACTGATGTTTAGGTTCTGTGGTGATGGGAGGACATCATATGTTGGCCTGATAAGTAAACTGATCCTACTCTCTTCCATTGGCCAAAGGTCTTGCCAGCCCATCTTACGTTGTTCCACACTCTCCCATCTCATCCACTCTCCCTGCTTAGCCTGGGAAATGGCCTTTATACACCTCATCCTCTCCTCCTGCTTTCGCACCTTGTTGACTACCAGCTCCCTCCTTTGAGCTCGGCCTGCCTTGTGCCATTTAGGAGGAGCTAAACTGAGCAAAACCCCCTCTTCCATGCTGTACCTGTCCCACGATATCCCCAATTTGAAGGGCAGCCTTTGCCTCTACCACAGATTTCTTTGCTGACCACTTTCTACCAGTTTTTAACACAGGTTCTGCCTCTCTTACACATTTGTCGCCTGACTCTACTAAGGTCATTTCCAGTCTGGCCTTTGGCACACCTAAACTCCTCGGTTAAAGCAGAGACTGGCAGCTGCAATATTCCTTTACTATAAAGTCCCACTTGGCTGAGGCAGCGTGGAACTCCCAACCATTTTCTGATGTATGAACTTATTAACGCTTCCAGCTTATCCACTGTTGTCAAAGAAACCTTGTACACAGTCAGTGGCCACAGCAACCTCGGCAGCAGACCAAACTGAAAGCACCAGAGCTTTAGTTTGCCTGGTAGAGCACAGCTGTTATTTATGCTCTTCAACCCTTCCACTGCTTGTCGTCTAACTTCTCCCACTCAAAACTGTGTCTGTATCTCCCAAGACTCTTCACTGGCTTCTCAGAAACTGTTGGTATTGCCTCACCATTAATGAAGAATGTTTCATCTACTACATTTCCTTTAACTATCGAGATGCTCCTTGATTTAGAGGGCTTAAATTGCATTTGTGCCCATTCAATATTATCTGTTAACTTCCCCAATAACCGATTAGTGCAGGCTACTGTTGTAGTCATAACTTGTCATGTCATGTACAGTATACTCTGATTGGTGGTAGTCGCATCCCAGAAGCCAAGCGCTCTCCTCCTACTACCCATCTTGATGCCCTAATGATTACCTCCATTGCCATGTTAAAAGCCAGTGGAAAAATGGTGCATCCTGCCATTATTCCAACTTATAAGCATTGCCATGTAGTGCTGAATTCTGGAGTTAAGAAACTAAATTGCAAATCTCCAAAATAGGCTTTCACTAATTTTTTTATTGACATTGGTACTCTGAAAAAATCAAAGGCTGCCCAAAAAAGCTCATGTGGCACTGAACCATGCATTAGCCAAATCCAGGAATGTCACATGGAGCTCCTTCCTCTTCTTTTTAGCTGATTGAATTCATTGCCAGATAACACTGATGTATTCTAAGCATCTTGAGAACCCTGGAATGTCCGCTTTTTGAACTGAAGTGTCAATGAAGCCATTCTTTAATAGGTAGGTAGACAATCTATGAGCAGTAATGCTGACGAAAATCTTACCTTCAACATTTAATAGTGTAATAGGACGAAACTGACAAATGCTTGTAGCATCTTTTTCATAACGACCCAACCTGCTCTTCGCTATGCTCTAGGTACAGCCTGTTTTTCCCATGCCACTCTTATCAATTTCCACAGAATTCGCAGAACTCCTGAAGCAATCTTGTACACACGGTAAGAAACTCCATTAGGCCCTGGAGATGATGAAGCCCTTGCCTTTCTCACAGCCTGCGCTACCTCTTTCCACTTAGGTGCACAGACCTCCATTTGGTATTCTGGTGGATTGAGAGGTGGGATGTCTGATGGAATTGATATAGGCTCATGCCTTTTTGCATCTGTATGCGTTTTCTCCAAATATCTCTCTAGTTCAAGTCTTGCCCTTGTAAAGCTCCAGCGGGCTTCTCTGTAAGGCTCAAGGTAAGATTGCTCTGCTGTTCTTGCCCAAAGCCTGGCCACTCCCTGTTAAGTCATATTGTACCGAATCTTGGTTGTAGTTCCACCAGAGTTCCACTGGGGGCGATCGTCTGAGTTCAAAATAAATGGGAGTCTATGGGGCTAGACGGCTAAATTAGCCTATTTCGCCCAATTGCCGTTGAGAAATCTCAGATTTGACTGTAGGTTTTGCAAGTTCAACATGGGTTACAGGTCGAAAGTTGAGTTAAGCAATACTTATGTCCTTTCGATTTCTTACAGGTTGAGTTGTTAGCGTTCTGCTAATGGACGCTCGCTGATTGGTCAGTGAAGGCCTGATTACGACCAGAGACACCGCTTGATGGCATCGTGGCATCCGAAGCGGGACCAATGTTAAAGGGATGGTTCACTTTGAAATTAATTTTTGATATGTTTTAGCTTACCTCAAGGGCATCCAAGATGTAGGTGTCTTTGTTTCCACAGTATTTTCAATTTTGACATTTTTCGGTCAAACCGTTGTTGTCTATCAGTCATATAATGCAGGTATGGGGGTCCACGTCAAAGAGCATGCACAGAGAAGTCAAAATTAAACATGATTTAATGACTCGTAAATGTAAGTACACATTGATGGCCTAAGACACGAAACGAGCGGTTTGTGTGAGAAAACGAACAGTATTTATATCGTTTTTACCTGTTAACTGCCATGTCCAACTGATCTGAATCAGATGTCTAACTGAACCGAACTGAACCATGTCCAATGTTCCGCCGGAGGTGATCGCTTGCGTGTGTACGTCACTCATTGTTTACACAGAGATTTCGGAAGTTTTACCTTTCACTGTGAAGATCTAAACATATTTAGATATACAGGAAATCGCAATGGAAGACGATTTCGATACATCTAAATATGTTTAGAGAAAGGTAAAACATTAACTATTAAAACTACGTTTACATGAAGGATTGCCATAAAGCAGGTCCCTGGTCATACGATGTGTATGACGTAATTGACATTTTAAAAGACATTAAAATAAGCAAATAATTGACTCTAAAAAATCTAACACCCAATAATGTGTAATTTGCATCTCCTTTCGAATACAACATTCAAATTACTAGACAAAAAAAAATATCCTCAGAAAAGAACATTTTTAGCTCCATAGACCTCCATTCATTCTGCACTCGTCCTGTGAGCGCCCTCATTTGGACCCAGAGTGGAACTGCAACTATTTCAGAACCCGGAAGTTTAAGGTGAGTGGGAGTTCTCCCCATTCCCGGCTGTTTTGTCTGTATTTTTTTTACAGACTATGGTCTTGCCTCAGGCAGGCAGCGTCCTCAGTTTCCAATGGACTGCTATCGAGTGACTCTATTTATTGCCCTTGTCCTGTCCCGGGCAAACCATGTGGCCTCTCAGCAGTACTACACCGCACATCTGCCCAGTGTCCAGGCGCTTTCCTTTCTCCATTATCATTTAGTCAGATTTATTTAAGAAGCAATACTATCAGAGGGGATTATGTAGGCCTACACCCCCTAAAATGTCTTCTTCCTTTCCTGTCTCTCCTCAAGCCGCTGTCTTCACTGCCATTTTCTGTACAGTAACAATATAATCCAGTGCCCACTCTTATGTAACTTCAGCGAAGTGCAGACATTAATAATCCCACACGGCCTGTGGCACGCGGGCTCTGTGACATCACTGACAACGGAGTAAAGAACTGTGGGTAAACACGTTTAAGAGCAGGACATGATGGAGCGGTTTGCTGGAGTTCACAGAGATGTGTAGATTATTCATAGATTATGGGCCATGGTATGTACAGATGTGTGGATTAAGACCTAATTGATTTGTAGATTACAGCATGTGGATTGAGTGTCATGCAGTAGGCTACAGTAAATCTTAGGAGATGATTTTAAATGTATTTGTATCGTATTTAGGTTTTATGTTTTCATGTATTATTGCTTATAGGTTATTAGAGATTATTGGATTAATAGGGAATGGGACTGTAAAATATTATCTATGCATATGTGTTTATAAGAATGATTTATGTTGTGCATGCTGGGGAGATTAATGTCCATGCTAATGTGATATGGCTCAGTGTGTGTGTGTGTGTGTGTGTGTGTGTGTGTGTGTGTGTGTGTGTGTTTGACTGCACCAGGGGTCTGTGCATGATCTCAGATGTCTGGGGGGGATTTGAATGCATTATGTAAAAAGTGTCTGTCTGTGTATGTGTGCACATTTTTGCTTGTGTTTGTGTATGGGTAGGGGAGTGTACCATTTTGTTTCTCTGTGTGTTTTACTGCTATATGTCATATTTATTCTGCCATTCAAATGTTTGGGGTTGGTAAGATTTCTTAATGTGTTTTTATTTTTAAAGCAGCAATTTATGCTCACCAAGGTTGAATTATTTTGTTAAAAATACAGTAAAATTACTATAAACAAAAAATATTCATGTGATGTCAAAGCTGAATTTTCCGCATTATTAATTCGGCCTTCAGCGTCACATGATCCTTCAGAAATTATTCTAATATACTGATTTGGTGCTCAATAAACATTTTTTTTTCCCATTATTATCATCAATGTTGAAAACAGTTATGCTTCTTAATATTTTTGTAAAAACCATGATAAAAAAAGCATTATTTGAAAGAAAAGTAGGCCTATAGAAAGTTCATACCATGTTCAAGATAATTTATTCGAAATATATTTTTGTAACATTATATCTTTACTGAAATTTTGGAAAGTGTAAATTAAAGTAGCCTATAAATTAGTTTTTCAAAAAACAAAACAAAAAAATGTACTGACCCCAAACCTTTGAGTAGTGTATCTACATAGAAATGTCAAGCTCAAAGAATGCTTTAGTTACATTTTAAATTAGTTCAATTAGTTAATGTCTTTGGTGTTTTAATGGACTTATTCATTACTTATTCAAAATAGCCCAATTGTTCCCTGTCCCATTCCACCCCTCTCTTAAATTTAAAATATAGGAAACATACAAATGGTAAGTAGATTTAGAACAAAATCTTAAATCAAATGATAAACAGCTTTGGTGAGAAACAACAGCAGTTAATGACAATATTCATGCAGCCGCGCCACTAGGTGTCAGATAAGAGTCCAAAGACAGCTGGAATAAAGAAGAAATAAGTGCACCACGTGCTTGAATGTCAAGTTAAAATAAATAAACAAGAAAATGTAGAGCTATTAGGCACTAGTTCTATTATTTAGCGTCAATTGACATCACATTATAACCAGATGTAGAATTTTACTTGTCCCAAAATTGTTTGTTTTATTTGTTTATTTTTCTATTGGTTATTTTAATAAATACTATTGTTTTGTCTTTTTTGTAAATCCTATATATTTGAAACTAAGACAGAGATTTAATACTTGTAGGCCTACTCTCACACTAGGGGGTTAGTGATCATGAATAATAGTAATATTACCCCTGTTCAACATTTTCTAGTCTACTTAGCTAAACTGATGGTGTTATGATTCACCCTGGCCTGTGGATGTTTAAGTGATGTGTATCTGTCCTGTAGGAGATGATGGGGGTTGAAAGGCAGTGTGAGGTGGAGATACTAAAACAGCCCCAAAAAGAGTCACAGTGTGTCCGAAAACAGCTGTCAGTCAACTCTAACAGAACCAATGGACCAGGCAGGACCAAGGATAAGGTAAGTCTTTGGGGTTAATCAAAAAATACACCACAACATTATCATTAATTGTTTTTAGATGTTGTATGGACTTGATTGCAAGATGTGTGTGTATATTAATCATAATGCGAGTACTTAAAGGAACACTCCGACTTTTTGGGACTTTAGCCTATTCACCTTACCCCCCAGAGTTAGATAAGTCCATACATACCTTTTTCATCTCCGTGCGTGCTATAAGTCTGTTTGACGCACCCACCGCTAGCCTAGCTTAGCACAAAGACTCGATGTGACTGGTTGCAGCTTTCATACTAATCCAAATGAGTGGCAAAATAACGCAAACGTTTTCCTATTTACATGTTGTGATTTGTATAGTCACATAATGTACAAATAACAAAGTCAAATGAGACACAGACATCTTTTAACCGTATAAAACCTGGGAACTATTCTCTGAAGGCGAAGCACTGCTACTTTGACGGCGTAATAACCGCATCACCGGAGACACGCCGTGGTGAGGAGCGGAGAGTTCGCTCGGTGTTTGGGTAATAGAGTCAGCAATTTATAAATAGTAAAAGCGTAGTTTAGAGTCATGGGTTTTCGCTCTATTGTAAATAGCTGCGACTGTAAACAGGGGAGGTAATACAGAATTCCAACTAAAAACGCTGACTGGATGAAGAAATGGCTAACTTACTCTGGATATTTATCCAAACACACCTAAGATTATCAAGGGACATTATGTTTGCTCGGTACATTTCAATGAGGACGACTATTTTGAAAAAATGGAATTTGCCACACGGACCATAATGTGCTGAAGGATACGGCCATCCCATCGATAGCACAGACAGGACAAGTGGATCACCTGCGGCTGAGGTAAGTGTTCCGTTATGTTTTTAGATGACCTACTGTAACAGTGCCTTTAGCCAGATCTAATGTAACGTTAGTGACACTATTATATGATTAGGGTATGAATATGTTTTTATCTTGATGCGGTGCGGACGCGCTTGGGAAAAAAAAAACGAGCGCGTTGCTACCGCGTTGAACTTGCACCCTGCGCGCGGCGCGCCTAGTAGCCTAAATTTGAAATAACCATGGAAATAACGAACTTGAGCGTGCAAAAGGGTACGATAGGCTGTGAGTTCATTGTGCAAAAACAATTTGTGCTATTACTTTCCCCTTATTCTATCCTATAGTAATGCAATACTGTATATTATATAGGGAAATGTATTTACTGTTGAATACATTTGGTTCAGCTAATAAATTGCATTTAAAATATATTGATTCCTGTAATAATAATTATTTATTCATGTGATATTTATAAATCTGGGTGCGTTTTTGGTTGGAAATCAATGAAACATGGTATTACCTGGTCTCCCCTGTTTATTGTCACAGCTCATACAATAAAGCAAACACCCATGATAAACCTTGCTTTTCTATCTAACGTTAGTAATTGCTGACTCTTTATTCCAACGCTGAGCGAAGCGAACTCTGCTCCTCGTCACGGCGCGTCTCAGGTGATTGTTATCACTCTGCCCAAGTAGCAGTGCTTCCCCTTCAGAAAATATAGTATTTATACGGTCAAAAGATGTCTGTGTCTCATATGGCTTGATATTTGCACACTCTGTGACTATACAAACCACAACATGTAAATAGGAAAACGTTTGCGTTATTTTGTCACTCATTTGGATTAGTATGAAAGCTGCAACCATTCACATCCAGTCTTTGTGCTAAGCTAGGCTAGCGGTGGGTGCGTCAAACAGACTTATAGCACGCACGGAGATGAAAAAGGTATGTATGGACTTATCTAACTCTGGGGGGTAAGGTGAATAGGCTAAAGTCCCAAAAAGTCGGAGTGTTCCTTTAAGTGAAAGGTTAGCTTTTTGAATTTTTTGAAAGAAAGATCGAAAGGATAAACAATGCACATTTATTTTCAAAGCCTTATTTGAGCGCCAATAATTCTGACCTGGACTGGACTGTGTGTGTGTGTGTGTGTATATATATTTGAGATTAGCTTGGTTTAGATTTTAGAATTGAAACGAAGGATGCATGAATCTGCTTGTAATGTCATAGTTTTGGTTCAGAGCTGTGACCTAGGCATTATTGGATTAGTCTGTGGCCTGATCATGGTTTGGTTTTCTGAGGACTTGGCCTACTCCCTCTTCAACCTTTTTCCACCCCTCCTTTCCTTTGCACCCTCCATCTGTTCTTTCACCCCCCTCCCAAAAAAAAAAAAAAATCACGGACTACTTTCTGAAGTCACTTGATGATAGGCGTGCACGATGACCTGTTGTAATGGGAAAACATTTAAGAGCACCTGTGGCATTTCTTTGAGTAACAGATCAACATTCATCATTTGACCTTATCATTTAGAGCTTAGTGAAAGATCAAATTCTACATTTGGGCTTTTTGGGGAAAGTAGCCATTCAGTCGGCTCCAGTCTCTTATTTATCAAAGGTGAAATCGATCCTTCACTTTAAACCTACAGTGCTTATGAACAGACACGTTTTCTGCTTCAGATCTGAAGAGGATGGAAATTGCTCACTTATACTCAGGGCAAATAACATTTACTTGGCTGGAGTGTTTTGAGATGTTAATGAGTCCTGCGATGTACTCTGGGTCTAGATGTGCCTTTTAGAGATGGGAATCAGTGCAGGTTTATATGGAGTGTTGCCATATTTGGCTGTGGTTATGCAATGCTAGATGTCCCATGAGACAGCAGAGCGCTCTTTTGGGAGAGACTGAGGAAGACCGAGTAGAATGACTGCCCACGTAATAATTGTTACGGTTGCCAGGCAGCAGTTTAATGAGTATCCAAACAAGTCAAGCTTGTTTTTTCATCTAGTTTGTAATTTTATTTCCATGTAAATTTATTTTTTTTAAATCTCATCTTCTTTGCTGGACACAGTGCTGTATTCATGCACCGTATTCATTTGTTTCTGTTTATAGGCATTTTAGTAATTGTGCAATACCTGTGAGAGGGACAGAGGGCAGTCTTGTCCTATTGTTTCATTGCTGCGTCCGGGGAAACCCTGAACCATCCAAATAATCCTCCTTAATACCCTGCTGCTCCTGCATCCCTGATCTCTGATTGGCCGCTGCTGCTGGGAACGGTCCTGCCACTGCACAGTGAGAGATAAACGATTGGCCAGACTCACTGACTGGCAGAAAGAGTAAGCGAGCACGCATGAGAACAGGAGAGAGAGGGTTTACAGGGTTTCTCACAAGGGATCCTCATTAACAAATCCGTCTTCTGCTGTCAAATCACAGATATGTGTTAAAGCTCTTAATGTTCTGTAATACGCAGACATAAGCTGAGTATGTACTGAATTCTAGACCTTTGATGAAGCATGTTCCTTATATGCAGGTGTGTAGTATAAAAATACATTTCCGGGCATAATACATCCGCCATGTTGGAATTGTCACCTGACCTGGATGTTCTTTGACCCATGGCCACAAAAAAAAGTGTCCACTTGTTGCTCACAAAATTTTTGCTGAATAAGACACCCTTCTAATCATACTGATTTTTGAATACTTCTATAGTATTGTGTTTAATTTATATGTGTAAAATATTCTAACATGTATCAGAATTTTGTCATTATGTAAGTGTCACATAAAGACATTAACCTGATTTCCGTAATTAGATCCAATATTCCAGTTTCTAGAAATCTGAATCAGACCATTTGCATATGCCTATTATTAATCTGAATTTAGGGGAGTGTCAAAAAATATTTGTAATATCCATTGTAACTCAACATTAATCTGCATATGTCTCAACAAAGGTAATTCTGGGTCTGAGCAAGGATGAGGTATGTTAAAGCCCCATAGTGGCAGATCTTAAGAAAATGAATGAAAATCTTACTGAAAAATAAAAAAAAAATTAGGTGGGGAGCTGGGGACTTTGTTCAATCCATCAGTTGTTGATTGGATGGAGGAGGATCTGAATGTGAGCTTCCAGTCAATTGTAAGAAAGGGGCGGGGTTTAAGTGGACTAAATGTTAGGAGAATTCTGGCATACTTCACCAGCTAGAAGTCAGTTGTTTTCACTGGAAGAGGTTGAGTTATGACATTAAAATTAAACAGTAAAAAATGGTTACAAAAATAAATCAAACATATACATGGACGAATTGTTCACAGTAAGATTAATAATTAATTTAAAAATGATTTCATCCTTGAATTTTCATTCTTAAAATGCCATGTAGACGTGAAGGACATAAATGAGAAGGTGTATGAATTAATCTAATGTATTTAGGATTATTCTGATATCTGTGTGTCTTGGTCTAAGGTTTACTACAATATTGACCTTAAAATGATAAAATAATGTTTATGTAGCCTAAATGTAGGCAGAGATGGGGGAAGGTGTAAGCGAGAATTCAAAAACACCTTATTTGACCTTGTCAGCTCCAGTCATGGACCTCCAGGGCGGATGGGTGATGCTCACCTGGAAGAAAATGCAGATGCATAACATTTGGCATGAGAGATGGGTATTTACATCAGAGATATCATGAACCAACAACGCACGACTGCTCTGCTGTAAGCTGCACTGGCTCTGCACTTGTGCGTGCTTCTGTGAGTGTGTGTGTGTTAAAGAGAGATAGAATAGGCCAGTGGTGTTCACATATCTTCTGATCCAGCACACATGTAGAGCGCTTAAAGCGCGCGCTAAATGCAGAGTGTATTCGTGTGCTGCGCTCTTCCAGCAGTGTGTGAGTGCGCGCGCGTGCGGTCTCCTCTGTACCGCCCGCTCGAGTGCTTTTCCCTTCCCGACGGTCGCTAATGAGCCGTTTTAAGCCCGGATAGCACGGACAGCGGACCGGAGCCGTCAGCCGCCCCTTAATATGACACAGTTGGACGCGGCTGTCTTTACGGGAATCATCTTTTAACGGGAGAGCGGCGAAAGAGGTAGAGTCGCTGTCCATCGCTTGTTTTCGTGCACGCGCTCAGCTGATTTGAGAGCGTGTTGTGTTGATAGGTGAGGTATTGGATGGTTTGGTCAGACATGTCTTTAAATTTGTTACAATTTGGTTGTT